GGGGAGAAAGGGGTGTGGGAGGTGCGGGAAGAGACTGGACAAAAATTGCACACCTTTGGATGATGAGGACAGCGGGGGGTAAGGGCAGAGGGTGGGGTGGGAACTGGGTGGAGCGTTGTGGGGGGGTGGGGAGGAGAGGAACAAATGTAATAATCTGAACAATAAAGCTTTAATAAAAAAATACAAATAAAAAAATAAAAATGTGCTTCAGCCTTCACCTTAAAAATTTAATTACTGTTAGTTTTACAAACCACCTCTATTACCTTAAGAGAATTTACTCATTCTTCTTTATATAGCCATACAAATGACTAACCAAAAAACTTGATTTGTGTCATAAAGAATATAGCTAATTAGAAATGTCCAAAGAGACTTAAGACAAAATCAAATAAATCATAGCAACAGAAGCACTCAATATAAAATAGCGATAAAAACAACTATACATGGAAGGCATGGTAATTCAGAATCTGATTTACCTTTTAAACACATGTAAAAGAAAAGCATCAAAGTGACAAGCTAATCTTGCTTCTCTAGTAGCTAAAAATAAAGATCTATGATGTCTCTAAAGTCTAAAATTTGTGAAGATTAAGATGGTTAATTCCCCAGAGCTACAACTACTTATTTACTACTACACTGTATACTCCAAACAGCACTGCCCAAAGAACTTTTGTGAAATGATAGAAATGTTCTGTATGTGTGCTATTATGGTAACCAATGTGCCTACTGAGCACTTGAAATGTAAATAGTGTGACTGAGAAATTATTTTAATTTTTGTATCATTTTAATTAATTTTATCCCCAAATATACTGGTGGCCACCATATTGGACAATGCAGTTTTAAGCCCTTTGTGTGTACCTAAATATATATTTAAGGTGTTTGATTTAATGGGCCTCTGTAATATTTGTTTACATTGATTCTATTTATTATAAAACTGCCCTGGCCTGTTTGGTTCATTGCTTAGGGCATCGGCCCACAGACCAAAGGGTCATGGGTTCGATTCCCAGTCAAGGGTGTGTACCCCAGTTGCAGATTCACCAGCCCTCTTAAGGGCTCATGTGGGAGGCAACCAATTGATGTGTCTCTTTCACATCAATGTTTCTCGCTCTCCCTCTCTCCCTTCCACTCTCTAGAAATCAATGGAAAAAATAACCTCAGGTGAGGATAAATAAATAAATATTATAAAATAAGCTTCTATACAGGAATGAGTTCACTTCCTTATGACTTCAACTTCCTTAGTAAAGCACACACTAGGTGGATAAATATGTAATCAATGTTTGATAAAAGAAGATACTTTACCAGCTCCATCTGAATCCTCTACCATAGGATTTATTTCTACCATGGTTGCATCATATTTCAGAAAAAGGTTGTAAAGCTTGACCATGTTTTCTGCTGCAGAATCCACAACATTAGGTGGAAATCCCATCTTCTGTGCAAGCTGAAAGCAATTTGTCTCTTTATTAGAGGAATACCACATATATCCAATCAACATTAAATTATTGTAAATAAAAAACCTTGTTAATTTATTACTTAAATAAGCATGAATCATCTGAAGTCAAACATTAATCACTGAAGTAGCAGCTATTAATAAATGGTTAAAGAGTTTTTACCCAAAATCATCATAAGGCAGGTGGAAGAAGCACACAAGAACAGTACAAAAAACTAGTGAAATTGTAAACAGAATTATCACGAATGTGTGTACACAGAGAAAGTCTATAACTTTCATCAGATTCTTAAAAGCATCCATAAAAGTAAAACCACTGATTTATTTGGTTTATATAAGATAGTACCCCTACCATTCCAATTTTCAGGGGGGGGGAAAGGGAGAGAGGAACAGTTAAAGGCCACCATAGGGATGTAATATCCAGACTAGTTTATTCAATAAAAGAAAGAAAAAAGATGGAGAGAGTGAGGGAAAAGAAACCTATAAATTAGATAAGAACCTATGAAACATTAACCAATACCAATGAAGGACCTTATATGGATCCCCACTCAAAGTGGGAAAAAAAGAGAGATAATTAGGGAATTTGAATGACAGGATAAGTAATGATATTAAGGAATTACTGTTAGTTCCACTAGTTATGGCAATTATCTTTTAAAGATACATACTGAGATATTTATGGAGGATATAAAGAAAAATATTGTTGATACCTCTTTAAGTTTCCATTTCAAACAAGATATTAACATGCCTTGACACTTAAAACATTAAAAAAATTTTCTGTCAATAATTTCACTTGTACAAAATAGATTCTCTTTCTTCAAGTATTATAATTACCTAATCAAAAGCTAGAAATTTTCGGAATGCAACATACCCGGACAGCTTGTTCCTTTTTGATGCCTTCTACAATATCTATAGGTTCTTTAACTATGGCTTCAGGAGTCTCTGCAGCAACATCTTCAATGTTGACACCACCTTGAGAACTTCCTATTAATACAGGACCCTAGGAGGAGAGGAAACAGCTAAAACATCTAAATTTTATTTGGACCGGTCAATAAAATTTTAAAACCTCTATGTGCACACTATGAGACTTATGCATCTATCACTCCCCATTCCTATTTTTAAATTTCGTGAGAATTTATCTTAGTATCTCCTGCACAATGCCCCTTATAATAAATGTTCAACTGAAATCATAGAAAAGAAGTGAAAAGGAAGAGAAAGAAAATAGTTCTTTGTGAGGGAAAAAGGTTAAAAATATATACAAAATTTCTAACAAGTTAATATAAACATGTATATGTGAAACAGAACCTATGCATTTTTGAAAAATCATAATGAACAAATCTAATAAACTAAAGTTCCAGATTTTATAAGCTCCAGGCTTATAAGTCAGTAAAACAGAAAGCTACCTACCTTAAAGAATATCTCAGGCTACTACCATTAACAATATAAGAAGATATAAGTATTAATTAATCAAATGTTAAGTCTTTTAAAATCAATCAAGAAAAAAAACTTAAGGCAAAATTATCTAATAGATTTGCTAATTTATGCACAAAACTAGAAATAGTATTATTATGCAAAAACAAGGAAATGGTTAAAGGATGTTACTAAAGGTTATTCTCAGGTATATTTTTTAACATTAAGTGTGTTTAAAAGTGCACACACTCACTATTCATATAAATAGAAAAAACATGGCAAATAAAACAATAAATGATAATACTTTTGTTACTTCATATGTCACTATTCCCACCCCCAACAATTTTAAAAAAATGTTTTTTATTGATTTCGGAGATAGGAAGGGAGAGGGGGAGAAAAACATGATTGTTGCCTCTTGCATGCTACCTACTGGGGACTAAGCCTGCAACCTGCAACCTGGGCATGTGCTCTGACCTGAGAATTGAACTTCGAACTCCTGGAGCTTAACAACTGAGCCTCACCAGCTCTGCCCCCTCCACCCAAATTTTGTTTACAATGAACATATTATTCCTTTCTTCTTTTTTTTTTTTTTTGTAGTGACCAATGTTTGTTCTGTGTTTCTGACCAGAATAGGAATGAACAGAGAGGGGATGTGCTTTTGGACAGAAACAAAGCTATATAATTGGTCAGGTTGTGCATCATGGGAAAACCTGGCTGAGATAGTTAATATTTCCCTATGGCCTCTATTAGTGGTAATCATCTAACATATTTTGGTCACATATTAGTTTCAACCAGCTATAGTCTAAACAGGAAGAGATGATTTGAATCATAAAGAGAAAAGAAATGAAGTACGTGGTCCCTTCAGTTCCATTTACTTATGAGTATCCAGTGGGATTCCTTTTTTTTTCCTAGCCTAAATTTTCTTATTATCCTTTTTATTTATTTATTTTATTCATATTTGATCTTTCACTCATCCACCCATACAGAGAGTAATGGCTCTCAGTACCTGAACGTTATTTTTTAACTGAATTTATTGGGGTGACATTAGTTAATAAAATTATCTAGGTTTCAGGTGTACAATTCTATAATGCACGATCTGTACATTATATTGTGTGTTCACCACCCCAAGTCAAGTCTCCTTCCATAGACATTTATTCCTCCCTTTTTTACCTGCTCCCCTTTCCCCCTGGTATTCACCATACTGTTGTCTATGAGTTTGGGGTTTAATTTTAATTTTTTTTTCTTAATCACTTTACCCTTTTCACCCAGCCCCACAACATCCCTCCTTTCTGACAGATGTCAGTCTATTCTCTATAAGTCTATTTCTATTTTGTTTATTAGATTCCACATATGATTGAAATAATAAGGTACTTTTCTTGCTCTCACTGGCTTATTTCACTTAGCATAATGCTCTCAGGTCCATCATGCTCACAAAAGATAAGATTTCCTTCTTTTTTATGGTAGAGTAGTATTCCACTGTGTAAACGTACCACAGCTTTTTTATACACTCATCTACTGATGGACACTTGAGCTGCTTCCAAATCGTGCCTATCTATACTAATAAAAGGGCAATATGCAAATTGGTTGGGACACCCTCACATAACCGAACACCAGGCTGTGTGGGACGACCAGGCCGGTTGGGGGATGGGGGGCCGTGAGGGGTGACCAAACGACCAAACAGCAGGCTGTGTGGGACAACAAGGCCGGCAGGGAGGGAAGTGAGGGGTGATCAAACGACCGAACAGCAGGCTGCGTGGGTGACCAGGCTGGCAGGAGGGGTAGTGAGGGGTGACCAGGCTGGCGGCAGGGGGGGGCAGTTAGGGGTGATCAGGCCAGTAGTAGGCAGAGGCGGTTAGGGGTGATGAAGCCAGCAGGGGGGCAGTTAGGGGTGATCAGGCAGGCAGGCAAGGCCATTAGGTGCAATCAGGCATGCAGGCAGGTGAGCGGTTAGGAGCCAGCGGTCCTGGATTGTGAGAGGAATGTCCGACTGCTGGGTTAGGCCCAATCCCTGGGATTGGATATCCGCCCCCGTTCACGAATTTTGTGCACCGGGCCTCAAGTCTATAATAATAAAAGTGTAATATGCTAATTAGACCAGATGTCTTTCTGGATGAAGCCACAGTGGCAGGGGCCTATGCAGAGGCAGCAGAGGCCTCCGGCCACCGCGGCAGGCACCGAGACCCTTGCACAAATTTTGTGCATCGGGCCTCTAGTCCTATCTAATAAAAGACAAAAGGGGTAATTAACAGTACCTCTGCTATGCTTCCCATTGGCTAATCAGGGTGATATGCAAATTAACTGCCAACAAAGATGGTGGCCAGCGGCCACGCAGCTGAAGTGAACATGAGGCTTGCTTGCTCCAGTGATGGAGGAAGCCCAAGGTTCCCCCGCTGCCGCGGCCCGGCTCTGAGCCCAAAAGCAACAATGTTTCAATTATAGAAGCTAAACAAACCCCAGAAACCTGCTTTCAGCCGGCCGCGGCCTCAGAGCTGGGAGCGCCAGTGATGGCAACAATGTTTCAATTGTAGAAGGTAAATAAATCCCAGAATAAAAAGAAAAAAGAA